CGACTGTAAATTTGGTAGTAGTTTCAATTTAAAAAAAAAGAAAAACATGAAAGATACACCGAAATTATTTAATATGTACAAAATTACTAAAATCATAAAACTTAAATTTATTGGGGCTAACTTTGAAACTGTTGATTCCCAATAAAACAGTACAGTAAGCTCGAGTTTACTGAACTAGTCGACTATTGTTCTTTATACCTCGTGGCCCATATGTAGCTAGTAGCCAACACCTGTTTCTGGAGCATTATAAAAGTAAAATTAGAGATTTCCGTTCTGTAATTTTATAATCTTAATATATATATTTTCTGTGTCACGTTGTTTATCCGCGATGGACTAAACTAATTAACTAATTAACCGATTTTAATCTAATTTTCACACCGTGTGCAGTTTGATCCAACTTGAGAGATAGGATAGTTTTTGCCCAGGAGTGACCCACAATTTTTTTTTTGCAAATTTAAGGTTTTTTAATAGGACATGACAAAGAGTCGTCGAAAAGGGCAGAACAACGTCTGCCTGGCAAGCTAGTAATTAATTAATTTAGAAATATTTACCAAGAAAGATTTTAACGTAGATTATTTATTGAAAAACTAGTCCTCTTTAATTCAAATTTTTATATTAAGGTACGTAATGCACATATTACGTAATGTTTATGTACATTCGTTTTCATATTCGATTACCATACACTGCAATTGTGACCGAGCCACGCGTCTGTAGGCCACACAGAAAAGTTTGAACGCTTGAAGAAGGCTTAATGGAATGACACAGCCTTTGTGAATGCCGCCCAATTCTAATGCCTATTCAAATGGCATTTCTTCTCTTTGTTGCTTGATTTCGACCAGCAATAGGTTATTTTATTAGTGTATAAATGAATTTTAACAGGTTACGTATAGAAATCTCGTATCGATAATGAAATTTGATAGTCGTTTTGTCATATTAAGTCACGATAGTAGGTAACTTATTTCTGTTCAATATTTTTAGATTTTCTGTTTTTTAATAATGTCACTCGCCGTCGCAGTATGTTTTTATCGATTTTGATTTACTAGACCATGTTCTACAGGTCAGGTTGATAACCTATTGCAACTAGGTAAAATGTTTTATGAGGAAATATTTGTTCTATCGGATTGCGTATTTGAAAATTCCCGAAGCATATAAGATTGAATTTACACGATATTATTTACACTATCAGTTTAATTATAAAATGAACGTAATACTGTCTAAATAATTAAGCAAAACCTTGAACTACGACCAGGGTTCGTAGAAATCACTTCCCATTTGTACGGTTATCGCTGGCATAAACTTATGTGAAAGAAAGCAGTATGAGGAATGACGTAAAGCCTCATATAAATTTTACTATAGGCACATTAATGTCGCTACGTGAAATTGATTTGCAAGCAGAAACATATTATGATTGTGAAAACGGGGTTTACGATTTATTTACACAATACTATAACGACTTTTAACATTTAAAACTATCACTCTAACATTGTGAGCAAGTGTTAAAAAATACACAATTTTCATATCAATTTTATTGCTCTGATGCAACTAAGAAAAACATTTCAATTTTTTTTAGTTGCATCAGGTAGGGCCTTAATAATATAATTAAACAATTCTAAATTAATCAATCAAAAGTAAATTTAATAAGACGTTTACATACATCTGAACTTTCACTGCATTTCTAGCACATTTTGATATTGTAGGTAGGTCTCATTGTTTAACTGCACAAGTGTGTAAGTAATAAGCTGTGACAAACGTCATAAAAGTGGACGAATGATATAAATTTTCCTGCAATAAATTTTCTTGGTTTAAAGTCACAGGTTTCATCCAGTGTAATAATTTAAAATTTTAAATGATCAGTGTAGCTATAAAATTAAAGAAAATTAATGTACTTACATAAAGTTTAAATTTTTTGGGGTAAATATTAAAAAGTCAAGAAGATTAAGAAATAGATTAAGAAGGCGGTCAATCAGAAATCAAATCGCTAAAATTTACTTTGGAAATTCAATCTACGCTCGATAATCCTAATGATAACTTTAAAGTACTGCGGAGATCGATGGAAATGTGATTGCTAATTAAAGTTGACACAGAAATCTGAATAGTGAATTCAAAATCTTCATTTATTTGGTCACGGCTTTCCTCTTACGTTTAGCATTAAATGACTGACTCTGTTTCAATTTCGTCTAACACGAATGCGGCAGTTGAACGAATTAGAACATGATTATGTTATTGTAAGAAAATTTTATACGTTCCACAGTACGGTGTCTTATTCTTACGTTTAGTGTGAGATTATGTTTCGAAGCAACAAGTCTTGCAACTGCAATGAATAAAGCACGTGAGTAGCGTCAGATTTTTAATAAAAAAAATTAAAACTGCATTTCTCATTGATTTGACCGATTTAGCGAACACAAATTCTCAACTATCTTGGTGGTCTTTATATGTACAAATTGATGCATGATCAAACACTGCTTCCAGACGATTAGTTTTGTCGACATTATTTGAGCTTGTTGTTAACTTTGCCTCCTTTTGCGTTAATAGTGTTACAATGTTTGCGAATTCTATTACGCATTGTACGAATTATGTATTTTTTGTGGTCTTTGTGCTTTTTCATTGACTGTCAGCTTAGTAGATCGATTTCTATTAGAAGAGAATATTTTATTTAATAATGTGTACACCTTATTTTTTAAATACTTATTGGTAGTAAAAATAAATATCAAAACCTTAATAAAATCTTAAAGTACTAAAACCAAATTATTTTACTAATCATTGGATAGTTCTATCGTTGAGAAGTGTAAGAGGCTGAGGTATATTTAATAAAGTGATACATTATTACAAAGCCACCCACATTTGTATAGCGAAGTTATTAAGGACACGTTATGCGTCATAAATATTTCGGCTACATAAAATTAACACTCAAAAACACGGGCTCTCGAGGCACCATAACGTCTGCGGGATCTCACAAAAAATATGGGGATCATTTGTGAGGGTCCAGCAAAAGTAAAAACTTTGAATTTAGAAGACTAGTTACAAACTGTATGACTGTGAATTAAGATTCAAAATTGTAATGACGGTGACAATATTTCCTTTTAAAATCTTAGTTATTTGTATATCACAATTGTTAACCATATGGTGTGCGTATTACGGTTTATATTTAATTAATTTATCCTGATTATGGCTATACTTAACAAAAGACACACTTGTTGACATGTTGTTTAATTGATCGGTGGTTCGCGGTAGGGGTCTAAGGCTTTACTCATACCGGCACCTTTGAGGAATCATTTGATTTTGATAAACTATGAATGCCTGAGCTAGCAGAAAATGCCACTGTAATTTTTTGCGAAAGAATTTTGATTGAATTAGTTGTTGATGCATTCTCTTAATATGAGAAATAGAAAACTTAATAAATGTATATTATTTATCATTAATTCAGTGTTTATACAGATCGATCTGAGATTTATTCAAACTTTTGAATGTTTCAAAAAGTGATTAAAAGAGAACCATATTACAATAACTGAATAGAAGCTAATGGTGAAGACGTTGCAAAAATTGACGAATGACGGCTCCTTTGATGGTAGGTGGCCCTCAGACATTGCCGTGATGAGTTTATAATAGCGACACTTTACGCACTCATATAAAAATATAAAAACATGGTGTTATATATCTTGAAAAACTTTATTTCAAGACAAATTTAAGTCTATCAATAAGTTGCTTGTTACGGGTTATTGAAAAAAAATGTCTTGTAGTTTAGATACCACTAACTATTATTGAAATTGCAACACAAAATAGCGATGTCGGCCTTTAAATGAAGCGATAGTAATTTAAATATCTACATCTAAAAATATACTGAGCCTTTTAACTTTGATGTTCTACATATTTGGATTTGTATGATGACATACGGATAAATTTTCATTCTCTTCTATACTCACTATCTTTTTGTAACGTGCAACGAAATCAATAGCCCTAAAAAATCTTTTTGAGGTTATGGAAGCCGAAAGAAGTTGAGTGTTATCGTTTTTGCTGGACTGTATTTGTGTTAAAAGAAATGGAATACTCTTGCTTGAGAGCACTTGCAATGGGTCGTGAAATTATTTGAGTCCTACGGCAGACGTCGATACGTCCAGTCCGACATAAGCTGAATGAATGCTATTGTAGCGTTAGATGTATTGTTGCTATTGTAAGCACACACGCTACTTGGCTTTAGTGATTAGTGTTGTATTATTTTGTAATTTTACGACGATTTATTTCTATATGTATATAAGTATGACAAAGCTATGAAATTTTTTCTTCTTGTTACTGTTAAAGGATATTAAAGGATTATCTTCTTGTTCATTAAATTTGATGAAATTTTTTTAAAGTTTTGAATGACCTTTATTTCTTCAATATAATTAAGTTTATATAAAATATCACCATGTTGAAAAATACACAAAATAATTAAATTAAATTATCAGCAATAGGCAGTTACCTTGCTGGCAATCTCTTAAAGTAGACAGGTTCTAAGAAGAGAACGCTACAGAAGAAATAAAAGGTGCATTCCGATAAATGTGAATTGGTAACCATTTGTTCATGGAATGAAAAAGGGAGACGTAAGCTATTTACGTAAGATAAATATAAAATTAAATAAAAATTAATAAATTAAGGCTAGGTTTAGGTGAGATTGACATAGCTTTAATCTGAATAGTCCAAAATGAGAAAAAGAAAACGAAGCAAAAATTACCCAATTTACATAGACAGGGCCAAAGTAAGCTTGCAACTAAGCTAAAGAATGATAAATTTTATTCACTGAAAAAGGTTAATTTTCATTCAATCAATATCATTGATGATAATAAATTGCGTTTTAATTGAGTTAAGGTGAAAGAAGACTACATTGATAGCATATTATATAATACCTATTGAGCTATTTCTTGTAAGTGTAGGAAAGAAAATTAGGGACATAAAATACTCCCTTATGGCACTCCAGTATAAACGTTAATTTTTTACACAAAAATTAAAATACATTTTTGTTGCAGGACAAGGCCGCATGAACCAATTGGGTGGGGTATTCATTAACGGACGACCGCTACCAAATCATATCCGTTTGAAGATAGTCGAGATGGCAGCCGCTGGAGTCAGACCTTGTGTTATCTCAAGGCAACTGAGAGTTTCACATGGCTGTGTTTCAAAGATTCTGAATAGATACCAGGTTAGATACATGATTATTTATATGAAATTAAAACTATTTAGAGGAATGTATTTTTACTTCACAATATAAACACAAATGAAAAGAAAGGAAAGTAAAACATACATATTTTCTTTTCCTTTTAGTCCAAATATAATCAACAAAATATTAATTATGATTACTTTCAATGTTATAAAAATTGTGCTTGGTTATTTAGCAAATACCTGTAATTATGTATTTGTTTTTTTTTTCAAATTATGTAATTGTTTTCTTAGGAGACTGGATCCATTCGTCCTGGTGTAATAGGAGGGTCAAAGCCAAGGGTAGCGACGCCTGAAGTAGAGAACAGGATTGAAGAGCTCAAGAGACAAAACCCAGGTATATTTTCCTGGGAAATTAGAGATAAACTAATAAAGGAAGGCATCTGTGATAAAAATACGGCTCCGTCAGTCAGTTCCATTTCGAGACTTATAAGAGGAGGCAAAAGGGATGAATCAGATCCTAGAAGAAATCATAGCATTGATGGTATTCTAGGTAAGTTAAACTTACCTTGGATTTCAAATTTATGATGAATTATTAAAAGTGAAGTTGATTTATTTTAATTATGATAGATTTTGCTAAAACTAAAAGTAATGTTTAACGAATTAATAATTTTGTTGCTTTGCTCTATTTTTATATGCTCTCCTCTATTAATATATCTCCAAAATTTAATGCATTATTTTAATGCAAAATTAATATTTAATTCATTTTTTTATTGTAGCGAACACTATTCATTTACTAAAACTATTTCTAAGGATTTTATTACATCCCAAGCAAAATAAGTTCTTAATTTGTTCAGTTTCTAATAATTTTCTGTTTGATGAACCATTGCGTGAAATGTCACTTAGTTGTAATTTTGTTGTTGATGTAACATGTTATATGATTGGTACAGAATAATAATACTGAAAACTTTGTTAAAATAACGACAAAAAAGGAGTACAGTAAAAAGACAGTACCTATGTAGTTGCCATGTCATCGTAGTGCTCATCGTTGATTTGAGAACATAATCACTTAATATAATCCAGAGCACACTATTATTATAAATTTATTCTTGTAATGAGACTGTCGGAAACGTTTACAAACTCCGCAAAATGGCGTATAAAGTTAATAATCAACGTAAAAATAAAGCGGGCGCAGCGCGCGCGCACGCCACAGCAGCGCCCCTTGTGTCGGCTTCGAAAATTGTAGGTTATAAAAATGAAATTAGTACTCAAAGCTGTTATTATCCCATAGCGTTTGGCCGCGAGGCTTGCATTACGACAATCTGTCCGTACTGCACGTCTTGTGCCGTATAGCTATCCAATATAAAATAGCGCTCCTAATATCCCGGTTCAACGACGGAGTGCGGTTTTACCGGAGAGATTTTGCACCACGATAAGATTATGCATATTAAGTTGTGTGCGGCTAAAGTAATATCTACATTGGAAAAGCGGTCTCTTTATTCATATGAAATGCATGTTCTTGATCTAAAACAAATGGTTTACTCGCTTGGAAATATGAAACAACTAGGAATTGTAATGTAGGTATTATTATAATTTCATAGGGAATGATAACAGTAACCCATTAATTTATTGTTAGATAATTATATTGGAAAAAGGTCGTGAATTATTAAATAACAAAAAATCTACGCTTTTCTATGCGACGAAGTTGGGTCGTATAGTAGATTCTCATACGCCGCGCAGACACAATAAAAACGCGTAAATTTTTAACCAAATATGAACTTTAAATACTTAGTAACCTAAGAAATTTGGTATTACACTAAATATTTTGTAAATTTCAGTCGTCTCGTGCAATTAGGAGATTATTTTAAGATTTAATTATGTGTATGTTAGCTACTTTTTCCAAAAAACCGTCTCCTTTGTCTCTAAAAGGTCCATCATCTTGTGAAGACTCAGATACGGAGTCTGAGCCTGGCATCACGTTAAAAAGAAAGCAGCGAAGATCAAGGACGACATTCTCTGGAGACCAACTTGAGGCTTTGGAACGAGCGTTTACAAGAACACAATACCCCGATGTATATACCAGAGAAGAATTGGCACAGAAAACTAAGCTCACTGAGGCTAGAGTTCAGGTAAGTGCGAACAGTGAAATTTGATGGTTTCCTAATCAAATGTAAGATTTGGTTGGGATTCCAATCCATGGCCCATAATAAAAGTGAATAGCCATAGCTAAGTATTTTGATCGCTAGGCCTATCGTCTAATACTCATTAGTTTTATACAAAGGGTTATAATTGACTACACATGAATCCAATCAAACAAATTCATAATGAATATCACATTTACTTCCCGTCCATGGAAACAGCGATACGTAAAAAACCGTAATAGCATTAAAATTAATTATTATGCTATTATGATACTGAATACAAGCCGCCATATGTTGCGTCACGCTACCGTTGGTTCCTTTAACAATTTTCGTGAAATTAATAACCCTTATAATTGTAATACTGATATGACGAGTAATATATATTACAATATTTTTTTTATAGAAGAGGGGGCAAACGAGCATGCGGCTCACCTGATGGTAAGTGACTACCGCCGCCCATGATCAACCACAACACCAGGAGAATTGCAGGTGCGTTGCCGGCCCTGGAAAGGAGTAGGCTCTTTTCTTGAAGATTTCCAGGACATATCGGTCCGGAATATGTTTTATATTGTACACAATCTTTATTAAATTAGCTTCCGCATGAAAAAGTTACTTAGATTTCTTAAAATATTTGTCGAATGCAATATGTCAGACTTAAATTACGGAAGTGAGAAAAAACCATGAGCTCAATCAAAGAAAGTAAAATATGTTATTTGTATCTATTGTATTTTTTCATAATGTTTTTTTGTAGGTTTGGTTTTCTAACCGAAGAGCTCGCCTTCGCAAGCAACTTAACTCACAACAACTTAGTGCCTTTAATACTATGTCTTTACAATCCGCATTCCCTTCTGTTCATCAACAATACGAACCCCCGTCAACCTTTAATGCCCAATGTGCATCATGGCAGCAATCTTACTCATCTGCCCTGGGAACCAGTTCAGTGTTAAATTCGGCATTAGCTCCGTCACTTCATCAGTCTGCATTAACACCATCCGTTTGCCAGTCAGCTTTAGCTTCGTCTCTTCATCCGCCAACATCTACATCATTTTCATCAGGAAACCTGACACCACTTTCACATTCATCTGAACTTCCCACTCCATTACAACCGTCATCAGATGCTACTCCTCCAAGCACGAGCCCTATCACTAGCAGTCCATCAGCAAATCAAAGTAGTGGTATAACTTACCAGCATTCTGCATATGCCAATCCTAGTGAAGCAGTTTCGCATCCTTATGGTTATGGGGACTATTCAAAACAAGAACACGCGATGTCAGCTCACAACCACTGGACTTCAAGACAACTTGGTGGACACCCTCAAAACAAACTGCCCGACGTCGGTGCTTGGCCAGAAAATTATAGGTAAGTTTATTTGTTTGTAAAAAGTGACTGATTGATGTCTGCATTCATCATCTCAAAAGCATGAGCTGAAGCTTACCAGACTAGTGATTGGGGATCGCCTGAACTCACCAATCCACCTACTCACAGTAATGTGGATGGGAAATAATCTTCCAATAAGTAATCTATGCCAGATGGCGCATTCTTGTAAAATCAGAAAGTGGAAGTTCATTTAAAAAAAAAAGACCTTGTAAAGTTTTTATCTTCAAACTCAGCTTAACTCTATTTTTAAACAAACGTATTATGTCTCAATATGCCTTGACTGCTACCAAAAGATTATGAATTATTAATGTTCAGATACTTAAATTCAGATTCGGATTTTACAGATGAACATACAATTACATTAATAGCATTCGCCTTTGACCATTTAAGTTATGATATACTTAGTTAAAGCAGAGAATGATATTCTTATTTATAATGATTAATGATATATACTAATTTATTACAATGCCTATGGGATGTTACTAGCCGGAACGTTATGGAGGGTCGTTCATTTAGCGTATAACGTCCGGTGGCTATCGTACGGGCGCAGGGATCGATCGCAAATCGGAGCGCATTCGTTTTATTTCTTTTCACCTTCCTTTATCATTAGTCGGAGCGGCCGCTAATCAATTAAGAGTGTAAGAAGTCGGCCATTACATGCCGCGCGGGTGGTTATTATAGTCCGCTCATCGTAATACACGATGCGATCGTGAACGGAATAGGGCTGCAAAATTTATAGAGGTATTTGATTGATTTGTGATCAAATTTCATCAACAGTTCATGGTATTTTGTTTTAATCAGCATATTTTTAAAAGTGTCGTGTAAAAATGTACAAGTGTAATTTACACCTCCAGTAAATTTGTCGTAAGCGAATGTGACAAATTCATTGTGGCTTTGTATTCAAAAAGCGACGACATTTATCTATGTTATCGAGACAAAGATGGACTATAAAACTCACATTGGACCACACACAATATATCGCTAGGTACAATAAGTGACATTCTAGTAACATATGGGCTAGCTACGTTTATATGGCGTGCAATTCCATTTAGTTCTTTATGTAACTCCATTGATGTATGTAACTTGGTTTCACTGTGACTCCGGTAAGAGATTTTGGATTCTATTATATTAATTTTAACTGGCTCAAATTTATATTCTCCGTTCGGAGAGAGTCTTTTGTGAAAGGATTGTTTGCGGATACGAGAAAATGAAAAGAATTGTTAAAGCTATTGATATGAAGCATATAGATGATATATACCTAGATGCAAAATAGGCTAGCGTCTGAAAGTAGGTTAAAAAGCAAAACCTATCGTACGGATATTTCACCTGTCACGTAATGACTAGGTTTTTTCTTTTATGCATATTAAAAAAGTATTGGTATGTCCATGGGAATATTTGGTATAATTAAAAAAAGGTTTGCATAGCCCTAAACCGGCTGTATCATGAGTGTATGTTCTCTTTATTCCCACCAACTTTTATCATTGATGCTCATATACCGTTTTTACAATAACTTACTTACTTTATACGTGGTAGAGCCATGCTGCAGTTATATAAGTAGTATAGTTGTAGCACGAATGGGTCGGCTCGACCGGGGAAGGACCACGCTCTCACAGAATACCAGCGTGAAATAGTAGCTTAATGCTGCTGTATTTCGTATGGTGAGTGTAGAGAACCGGAGACCCTTTTTACTGGAAACGAGGCATTCCATCTTAGTCCTCACGGGTGACAACGCATCTGCATTTTGATTCGTAATCGAGGATAGATGTAGATGTCAATGGGCCACAGCAACCACTTACCATCAGGTGGACTGTGTGCTCGTTTGTCACCCTATCCTATAAAAAAAACTTATTTCTACAATGATCTTTGTCAACCTAGAAAATTATTGATTCATTGAAATTATTGTTTCGTATGAAACTTTGATTCTTAACAAAATATATTTTTTTATTACAAAATATAGCCATATTTTAATTTCTTTTTCGATTGTGAATACTGTTGTCTGTGAATTTTATTTCTTACTTAGCAGGTCTTTTAGGACTTATATTTAGAAACTCTAAACTGATTAAAACAACGTATGTAGAAAATAAACATTATTACACTAAACGTGCAGTAGAATGTTACGCAGTCAGCATACATTATTAAATTATAACAAGATCTAAATCTATGTTACAGTTATAAAATTTGGTGTTATTAATAAAAACAATGTTTTATAATGTATTTTTGTAAAGTTAATGACGCATATTATCTGTAGTACAAGCTCAACAATCAAGAACAATAACTCCTAATTTTTGCATTTGCGCATGACTATAAGCAAATTTGTAGTCTGACGTGAGGAATCGTACACTTCAATAGGTCTTTCTACTGTGGACACCAATCAGTAGTTACTGTCGTATTGTCTTCCTATCATCGAAATTGCATACAAAGTGTAGGTCGTGGAGTACAGTTCGAGCTCAATGCTCATATATTGCGGAAAACAGATAAACACACGTTACTTGTAGCGAGCGTAGGGGCAATTAATGAGAGGCCGAACGTGACATTAGTACACTGAACCCGGGCATTAAACTAACGCGAGCCTGGTATTAAAACTTATCTGCAGCTATTTGTATTCAACTTCCTAAACTGCAGCAATGCTCGCGTGTACTTGCCTTTTATTGGTCAGTTTATGTTGATCGCTCCACAGTTTGATGCATTGTTTGATGTATTTAGTAAGTCTTGATTGATGAATGCAGGTGTAAGAAAACGGCTTTTTGATTTTAAGCTGTTTTCAATTTATGATTAAAAAGCTTTAGTTCATTATTAAATAAATTAACTAACTTTTAATTAAGTTAGAACGCGTGATAATATAAGATTATGTATTATTATAATATCGAGTGTAATAAACACTGTCCTTTGGTTATAAATATGTAAGATAGAGGCCGCATTATTAAAACGTGTATTTGGGCCCAATACTGTTACAATATGTTCGCCAGCGAACTATATAATATCATGTCTGTATAGTATATTTCATTACGAGTGCGGAAAGTCTGTCATTGAAATACTTCCGACAAGTGTCTACCCGAGCCGAGGCGCAGCCGAAGGTGAGGGTTGACAGTCGGAACAAGTTGTAATGACGGTTCCGGACGTGTACTAAAAAACTATTTTTAATATAGTTGCGAAAAAATGAAGTAATTCATTAAATAATAAAAACAATAAACTCAACTAACTTGGGTATTCATTAATATCCACGTTGTTCCTTATTTTCAGCATACTTTTTATCGTCGAAAACCTCGACTATAACGTAGAAGGTTTTAATTTTGCTGAGAGTTCGCAGAAGTATGCCAACATAACATTTTCAGAAAAACTATTTGCTTTTTTCTCTCCTCTCCAAGTAATAAATTCGTCATATGTAGCGACTTTTTGACTTTTCCGGTAAAATGTTCTCCGAAGCATTTTGTGCAATTATACTGAGTTCCTGTGGTGTTAATTCAAATAAAATATCGTTGAAGTTACTCATTTTGAGCAACAAACAACTAAACTCGCAAATAATATTTTTTGAAAATGGCGCCAACCGTAAAATAATGTAAGCAGAGATTTTTTTGTTTTCTTCACTCATTCTGGGTAGGCAAAGGGAACTATGCCCATACAGCCAAGTCTTCAGTAGAATTTGTTATTGATATGAAATGAAAATGAAATTTAATGAGATGAAATGAAGTGAAACCTGAGTTAGGTTAGGTTTCACTTCATTTCATCTCATTAAATTTCATTTTCATTTCATATCAATAAAAAATTCTACTGAATTTTGATTGAATCAAATCATTACATCTGATATTGAAACAAATTAGTAGCTTCTTTTTAGAAATATTTGCATGAATCATAAAACTTCTATGATTTTTTTTAGTAAAAACTTCGTGGTTGGTTTTTTTCTTTTTAATAGACATTATTTTGACAGTTGGGAAAGAGAACGCACGAGTTCGGAAAAGGTAAAGAAAATGCTCGAGTATGTAATAGCTCACATCCCTAACGTCCCTGCAATACGCCACTTTTTGAGCAACTGTATTAAAAAAATTTTTTCAATACTAATTTAAGAATCTTCCCTTAGATATTATTATAACGACAGCATTCATAGGAAAATATATCTATATTTTTTATCACTATTGGTATTGAATGTTATGCGAACAAGTGTAGTTATGCAACTATATAACTCATATTTTTCCAACCCAATTTTTCATTTTTTTTTACCAGTATTTGACTAGCTAACCAAACTGATGGTAAGTGACGATGCAGCCAAAGATGGTAAAGCACATTAATTTAACTTAAAAAAAACCTATGAATTATGGACGCGTTATAATATTAGTACTCTCTTTATTGTTCTTGCATTTAATCATAGGGAGAAAAATCATTATCCTTATAAAGGTGCGGTGATACCTTACACTGGGTTAGTTACTAACATTGTCCAAAGCTCAAGTCCGGTAGGAATTTCAGCGCTTTTCATCGATGTTTATGCAATAAGTTTAGAGGCGTTTTACAGCTTCTATATCATGGTTGTAGAGGATAAATATAAATGTCTATGTGCCACAACATTCACTTACCAACATGTAGTCTGTGTGCTCGTTTGTCACCCTTAATCTATAAAAAATGGTAATATTGAAAGATTGTGGAACCATGGTAGATCATACTGATAAAGCAAGTATATGTTGGGTGGGTATTAGCAGATAATATATGCAAGGCTAGTGCGAAATGAAAATCACTGCAAATTAGACAAAGACAAAGTGGAAGGCCATGCTAAGAGGCTTATTGATGGTTAACTCGTTTTTTTAACACCAATTATATGAGTCTCGAGCATAGGCGCAGAGTAGTCAGCCTCTAAGTATTCTACAAGTTATATTTTGGACAGTTTGCAAAGGTTTTGCATGACTTAATTTCCCGTTTTCTTCCACCTTTAGACAAATAGACTTCTTTTTTATTTACATACAACGCATTCTAATCAAATGCATTGCTTTAGTTTGCAACGCTTACAGAAGTAGTTGAATGTAATATAAAAGTGAAATATTTAACCCATATTTGTCTTTACAGCCGATCACAACTTGGTTATCTGAGGCGTGAATAAGATGAGTGTGAATACACTTTAAGTTAAGCTCAGCCAGTTAGCATGAGATGCTATAGTACTCAATAACCTATATAGACAGATAAAGTAATAGAGAGACATAAAGTAAACAAATAACCTATGTAGAATTGATTGATTCAATCCTCAAATGTTTATGATTATATTAAAAACGAGCTGTTCCCCACGACGACGCCCGCGTTTAATTTATTACGATTGGTGTTCAGGAGTGAAAATTTTTTGCACGTGACCATAATTCTTTGTCTAAAAAAAAATACATTTAGTTACTCCTTATAACATCAGCTATCTGACAGTGAAAGGCTCGTCAAAATTAGTTAAGCCATTTCGGAGATTAGCCGGAACAAACAGACAGACAAAAAATTTAAAATTGTGTTTTTGTTGTAAGTATCTAGTCAAAATATGTTATTTTGAAATTATAAACAGACACCTCAATTTCATTTATTGGTATAGATAATCACAAAATTATATTAGGTCTTTTTATGTTCAATAATTACTAATTTCCGTTGAATGTATCGCCTCTTGCGTGCATTGCACAAATCAATTTAGACAGCATTGGGTAATGACGTAGTTAGTATGCTAATTTCAATTTCTGTACAATCTTAAGCTTCACCTGTTAAATTTATGTGCGTACAAAATAAAATAACGTAGACGTACTATTTATAGTTCCTTATTAAACACTCATGCTCTCTGAAAATAACCGTTTAGGAATACTTATCTAAAAATATGAATTAAATAGGCTTATACGGAATAGGAATAAACGGAATGTTTTTATTTTGAAATTTGGTCACGAATTGCCTCTGTGATGGACGCCCACAGCTGCTCTCAACATGATTTGATTTTTAACAAAATAACGTATTTCGGTGGTTCAATTAAAATCGCAATTCACCGGCTTACAGAGGTACTAATAATACTATTAAAATTTTCTCGTTTTGTACCTGTTTTACATCAATGTACATAAACATCATAGTTTTTTAAATGCTTATTACTTATAAATTTCGGTAATATTTTTGAAATTATTTTTTATTTAATTTTCATAAATACTGGTTACATATATATTTAAAACGATTTTAAGATAATATTACAAAAAAGAACATTTATTACTCATAAACAATTCGTTGTTGAATTAAATGTACAAATCGAAAATGATGGTATTAAAGGCAATTATTTGTGCAATACAAAAATTAAAGACTAATGAAATTTTTAATTCGAATTTTCCCGGGAAATGCGAGTGGAAACAAGCTCTTTATTATTATCTTCAAGTCCATTTCTAGACATAAGTCTTCACAAGTTTTGCTTGGAAGACTCGCCCATCTCCCTATTCTTGATACATACGAAATGTATATACAAAGTATATAAGGATAAGTTTATACGTGGTAGAGTCACGCTGCAACTGAATTATGACTGTAATACGAATAGGTCGGCTCGAGCGGGGTAGGACACGCTCTCACAGAATACCAGCGACAAAGAGCTGAATAATGCTACTGTGTTTAGTATGATGAATATAGAGAACCGAAGACCTTTTCTACTGGTAACGAGGCATTCTATCTTAGTCCTCAGGGATAAGAACACACGCCTGCCGGGGCTGCGGGCTGTTCGAAAGAGATACCGCGGCTCCGGAACGTAAGGGCACTGAAGGAACACGGATGGTTTTTAGTCAGTAAAAATCTGACACTCCCTTACGCTCCACCCAGAGCGAAAGGGGTCATTAGATGATTTTCCATCCGCAAAAAAAAAAAAAAAAGGGATAAGAACACACGGCAACACATGCATTTTGATTCTTAATCGAGAAATATGATAAATATAGATGTCTATAAGTCATAGCATCCATTTACCATCATGTGGACTATGTGCTAGCTTGTTACTTTATTTTATGAAAAATGGTATCATTAAGAACAGGATTTCATAGCATTACCATCTGTGATGGTAAATCAAAATCATGGTTAAATCAAAACCTACCGAAGTTATAGTTCTAGTACATGCTGTGTTTACTAGTAAGTGGTCACTACACTTAAGAAACTTCTATGTTATTTAAGATTGTCATTGTGTAAGTTAACTATTAGTCATATGAAAAAAATTGATGGTTGTTTACGCCCTTGTCTGCCGTAGAGACTATAGTTAGGTCGTCTAAGTAAAGTATGCCAGCTTACGCATTAATGAAAATAAAAACTATTTCCAGCTGTAGATTTAAAATAATTTAATGACTTGGAATGAGAATGGCTGTATCCTGAATGATGAAGTGTTGAGTCTAAAGAGATGGAAGGAATATTTTGAAAGCGAATTTATGAGTGAGGAGAAGTGTGAACTAAATGAAATAGAAATTCCGAAAGAAGATGAAAGAGATAGGGAGATAAGTATAGATGAAATAATGAAAGCAATGAAAAGCATGAAAGTAGGTGAGGCAGCCGGATATGATAGAGTTTCACTCGAAATGCTAAGGGCTGGAGAGGACGTGGTGGCAGGCCTGCTGTACACCTTGTTTAATTTATGTTGGGAACTAAAGCGGGTACCGGGAGACTGGTGCAAAGCCGTGATAGTCCCAATATATAAGGAAAAAGGGTCACAGCAGGACTGTAAAAACTACCGTGGTATCAGCCTTCTTAGCATTGTGGGAAAACTGTATGCTAAGGTACTAATTGAAAGAGTTATGAAAGAAACTGATGAAAAAATTTGGGATGTGCAAGCGGGATTTAGAAAGGGAATGGGGTGTACAGATCAAGTCTTTTCCATGCGCATGATCGCGGAGAAGTTTTTGGCGAAAGACCAAAAAGTTTTTTGTGCGTTCATGGACTTGGAAAAGGCTTATGACAAAGTGGACAGGGATGTGTTATGGCAAACGCTGAACGCATTTAGGTTGAGCGCTGGTTTGATACAGGCATTAAAGTCTCTGTATAGGGAACTCGAGTGCTTGTGTTAGAATCAACGGGGTCTACTCGGACTGGTTTGGCATCCATAAAGGTGTCAGACAGGGCTGTGTAGCTTCCCCGTGGCTGTTCAACCTATTTATGGACAGCTGTTTAGAAAATTTTAAAGTTGAAGAATGCGGGTTAAGAATGGGTGAGTTAACCATCAAATGCCTTTTGTACGCCGATGATCAAGTCATACTTGCGTCGTCGGCGGCCGAGTTGCAAATGATGGTTACATTAATGAACAGGTCATTAAAAGAAAGGGGAATGAAAGTGAACGCAAGTAAGACGAAAGTGATGGTTTTTGAAAGAGATGAAAGCAAGACGATATGTGAAATAAGAATAGAAGGAGAGTTAATTGAGCAAGTGGATGAGTTCGTATATTTGGGATGTGTATTCAGCAGGGATGGGAGATATGATAAGGATATTGAACGACGAGTGAATGAAGGAAATAAAGTAAATGGGGCTCTACACTCTATTGTGAAAACTCAGAATGTGTCAAAAAAGGCACGTATGGCAATTCACAAGTGCTGTACTAGTCCCTACTTTAACGTATGGTAGTGAAAGTTGGGTGTGGCAGAAGAAGCACGAGAGTAGAATAAATGCAGTAGAAATGCGGTCGCTAAGGAGTATGTTAGGGCTGAATCTGAGTGACAGGGTGAGAAACTGTGTGATAAAAGAAGAGTGTGGTTTGCAAGATGATGCGGTGACCAGGATTAAGAAAGGAATGCTTCGGTGGTTTGGTCATGTAGAAAGAATGAATGCGGAAAGACTGACAAAGCAAATATATGTTGCAGAAGTGAATGGAAGAGTCGGAAAGGGACGTCCTAGGCGGAAGTTTGTCGACCAAATTGGCGATATACTAAAAATGGGCCAAATTAAGAGTACCCTTAACCGACGAGCATGTATGCGTAGGTATATGGATGTGGAAAAGGCGGGAAAGGTATGTCAGGATCGTGCTAAATGGAAGTCTGTAGTCTCTGCCTACCCCTCTGGGTGACAGGCGTGAGTGTTTATGTTATATGTTATGTTATGGAATGAGCTTTATTACCATTATCATTACAGTCTATCAAAAAACCACTGAACATAAGCCTTTCTCATAAATCACCTCACAGAAGGGGATATTTTCCATAGTCACCAGGCTTGGCAAGCGGGTTTTCAACCGCAGTTTTTTTTATTCAGTTGTTATTAAAAAATCTGCTGCCCATTTCACTTTATTTTTATATATTTTAAGTATTTTAACACCTTTATAACGTATATTTCGTTTTTCACAGTTCCTTCTTTGGTACGAACGCGTCTCACTACGCATCGCATGCGCATTCTCCTACTGAAGCGAAATCCGGATACCCTTACTTGGGACAACTCGGAGGAATGGATATGGGAAGAGTTCACTAAACTAACTTCGCGTAACTATGTGCTTGTTCAAATACAAGAAAAAAATATATAATTATATAGTAAAAATTGGTTGAGATCAATAAGCCTTTATTAGTACACAGGCATATCGTTTTGTGCCTTTTGGGTGAAAAAGCATTATATAAAGTTGAACATTTATGTATATAAACAATATTATGTAAACTATTTTCGAATGAATTGTACAAATAATTTTATACGGTATATTTTGTATAAACTAATTTAGTTTTAGACACGCCATTTCTATTATAAGCCTTAGGTCTGACTTGTATAAATTATTGAATTAGTTCCTAAACCGTAACTTTAACATTTCTTTGCTATTAATTAACGAAATATACTTAAACCTTTAAAAAAATTTGATTGTGTACTTTGCAGTGATCATGTGTCTTAGTAATGTTAGTAAATTTTGAACTGTTATTTACCTAAAGTAAATAATCATGTATAAAATGTTCTTGTAACTAATAACTACATTTGCCTTAAAAACGTTGTGATTTCATAATATAGCTGTATTTATTATAGTTGATACTAATAGCAATGTATATGAATAACTTTATTTAGTAAGCACATTGTCAAACAACTTTATTCAAAATAAATGAACTTTAATGCATATTGTTTTTATATTTCTACCACTGTACTTTTGACGGCAGCATACATATCTATGACTTCTACGTAGCTTAATGAAAAATATAGGAAGTGTATTATTTTGGGGGGTGAGTCCTATGCGTGGTTTGTTTTTTCTATGGTGAGTGTACTTGTAGATAGGGGCCTTTTGTAGAGTTTAGTGTTTAGGGGTGACAGCGTTGTCTCTGGATCTGCATTTTAACTCTTAATTGAGGATAAATGTAGATGTCTATCATCATGTAAACAGTGTGTTTTGTTTATTATCATTAATCATTAAAAAAAGGATGCTTTCATAATTCAGTTTTTATATTAATTAGTTTATCGTAAAACTAATATAATTTATATTTACCTACTTGTAACATTTAACGTAACGATGAACAGAGTAATAAAGTTATTTGGTTATGTTACAAGCTTTTGAAACATGAGAGATGGTGTTTCGAACTTCAGTTTAGGACGTTGCAATAGGTCGAAAAAAGTCATAGCTTAAAAGATTTAAAATATGGTTCAGGTTTTTTTTAAATGGCTACTTGATGACAGATAGAGTATGACGCCAATCATCACCATAGGTGCAAAACACTCGAACTTGAATTAAATTAAATTTTACCGCGGAAAAATTAAATGGTTTTATTCAACTTAAGGAATTATTTACTCATGATAGGCCAAGTTTGTGTGGGCGCTAAATTACCAACTACAGTAAGGTTATATTTAACAAATTACTACTTACTGGTCTTATATTACTACAGGCTACTAGCTTGTGACTAAGTCAACTGATGACATAATTATGGCATAAATCCTTTGTCATCATTCGAATGTATACACTACTATGAATAATATGCACAAGAGTGCATCAAGAAGGTCAATATAAATTAATGGCTAACTGAATCATCTTCTATGATTGCACAAGAGTGCATCAAGGTCAATATAAATTAATGGCTAATTAGCAACATACCATCTGATTTGTTACGAAAATATTTCTTTAAAAATTACTTTAATTTTTTTTAGTTTTTTGGCAATTTCAGTAAAACCGTAGACTTATGACAAAGCCTCGGTATTTGTCTATCAAATAAGTTTTCTCTGACGACTTTTCACGAACATGATTAAAAAAATAGTTATAAAATGTGGTTACCCAAATTATGAGATATTGAGATAAAGTGACTTTATCTCATAATCTCTACTAATATAGCATAATTGAGTTATATATCGCGAGTACAAGATTATAATATAATAACGAAGACCTGAATCTTATAGTGCCTTCCGTATTTGATGATGATGATGATTGGCTGGAATAAAAAATCTAAGTAATTAATTTCGTTAAGTAATCTCGATTGTTATTGCGCTTGTCACAAACAACCAAATCTATATTCTGTAGTATTTTATATACTTACATAATAAATTGCACATGTCCAAATACCGAAACATGTCATCATCATCATTCATCATTACAGCCCTTCACAAGTCTACTGCTGAACATAGGCCTCCCCCAAGTAATGCCACAAAGCACGGTCCTGAGCCACCTGCATCCATCGACTTCCTGCATGTCTTACCAGGTCGTCACTCCATCTAGTGGGGGGTCGCCCTACACTTCATCTACCGGTACGAGGCTGCCACTCGAGAACCTTTTTTCCCCAACGGTTGTCGGTTATTCGAACTATATGGCCGGTCCATTGCCACTTCAGCTTACTAATCCGTTGGGCTATGTCGGTCACTCTGGTTTTACTGCGGATATCCTCATTTCTGAGTCTATCACGCAGTGAAACTCCGAGCATAGCCCTCTCCATAGCTCGCTGAGCGACCTTGAGCGTCCTCATACGGCCAGCGGTGAAGGACCACGTCTCAGATCCGTAAGTCATCACTGGCAACACGCACTGGTTGTACACTTTAGTTTTCAGAGATTGAGGTATACCTGATGAGAAGATGTGTCGTAATTTCTCGAACGAAACCGAAACATGTAACAAATATAAAATCAATTGAATACCTTTTTCATTCGACAAATAAACCTAACCCAACAGCGGTAGAGCTTAGATACTGGTCTACCAAGCCAGTCTTTAACTTCGACTATAATTGTATAGGTATCATGCGGTAAAGAAAAATACTTTTACAAAATATATAAATTGAGAATATATATTTAATAATAATTTATAATAAATTTATAGTGCGATGTTTTTTCTTTCACCAATAATTAAAGTTTCATTAACAGGAAGATTCAGTTAGAGGTTTCGACAGTGCTTGACATTGTCTTTATGCACAGCGTGGGGTGTAATTAGATATTCAAACGCACGCTTCCACATTTAAGACAATGTACACATGTAATTGAATATATTAATGCATGTTGCGAGAATTAATATCAATCAATAAAGCAATTCGAGTAGTAATTACTTGAATTACTTTATTGATCTTTACGTCATGCTAATCTCGCTTGTTTGCGGAGCAACAAGATGATAAGACAAAGGTATCCTTAGCTGGTATGTCTTTAGAGCAGCCTTATTCTTACGGTTCGCAAACAGACTGCATAGATCGTCTAATTAAAAAAATTTAAATGCATGATTTGATTTTGTCACATTTACCTTACCTATTATGTATCAAAAAATCTAAATCTGCGCACCATTTCCACTGTGTTTTAATAAATTTCAGCATTATATTTAACAATGAAAAAGTAATAAAATGTATTAAAAAGACAAGGGAGACGTAGTTGCAGTTTTAAAGGAGGCGATCTTTACAAGCAAATATATCATTTCGTAGCTTGCGATTCGAAAAAGCCTATAATAATCTAGAAGTAAATAAAAGGAAACTAATAAAGAAAAATATTAGAAATTAAATATAATCAATGTCAAAAGTTAGCTGTAAAAATAATTTTGATAACAGTGGTGGTAACCGTGATTTCTCATGGGTTAAGCACTCGGTGTAAATTTTATGGTACGAGAGCAACCAGAATTCGATTCCCGCCGGTACAAATGAAATAGTTAGTTGCGATTTTAAGTTTTATTAAGCGCTAGGTGGTGAAGAAAAATATCTTGGGGGAACCTCCAAGTCTAAATAGAAACATATTTTGAAGACATGTAAAGCATCTCCGTGGACATTTCATTGCCCTAAAACTCTTTCAGTTTCTTCCTAAGAGTTTATACCACCCTCCTGTCTCTTTCTGCCACTAAGTAGCAGTGTACCTCTCCGATATCTTTCAGCTTGCAAGAGCTGATTTTTAAAAGCTATTAGACATTCCATCTTAATCCTCGGAGACGACAACTCATCTGTAGTCTGCTTTAACTAAAGTTAGTTGATTACTTTCCATTAAGTGCATTGTAAGCTTGTTTTTCACTCTAATATTAACAAAATAATAATGTTCTTATAAGTTTTGACTACGGCGATCATTTTAATGATAATGATATTTTAAAGCAGTTAATCAAGTATAAAAAATATTTAAACAAACAGAGACACTACCTACGTCATCCTTTCCTGTACGTATCGGATTTAAATCTTATATAACAATATCGAGTTGATCGAGCAAGTAGATCAGTTTGTGTATTTGGGTTGCGTAACAAGGATGGAAAATATGATAAGTATATAGAACGACGAGTGAACGTAGGAAATAGCGTAAATGGGGCCCTACACTCTATTGTGAAGAGTCAAAGTGTGTTAAAAAAGGCACATATGGCAATTCACAATGCTGTGTTGGTCCCTACTTTAACGTATAGTAGTGAAAGTTGGGTGTGGCAGAAAAACACGAGAGTAGAATAAACGCAGTACAAATTCGGTCGTTAAGGAGTATGTTAGGGCTGAATCTGAATGACAGGGTGAGAAATTGTATGATAAAAGAAGAGTGTGGTTTGCAAGATGATGTTGTGACCAGGATTAAGAAAAAAATGCTTCGGTGGTTTGGTCATGTGGATAGAATGAAGGAGGAAAGAGTGACATAAATTTATGTTGCAGAAGTTAGCATAGTCGGAAAGGGACGTCCTAGGCGAAAATTTATCAACCAAATTAGCGATTTATTGAAAACGGGCAAAATTACAAGTACCCTAAACCGACGAACATGTATGCGTAGGTATATGGATGTGAAGGAGGCGAGAGAGGTGTGTCAGAATCGTGCCAAATGGAAGTATGTAGTCTCTGCCTACCCCCCTGGGTGACAGGCGTGAGTGTTTATGAATAACAATATCGGTAGGCTTGATTTGGACGAAGTGTCATAGGGGAAAACATGTCCATAAAGATAATAAATTATATCAATAAAACAGTCATGTATGCCATTCTCCAGATGTTCTCTTGGCTGTATTTCAAATAGTACGACAATTTATTTTACAGGATGTGGGTGAAATGAGCACACAGTCCACCTGATGGCAAGTGGATGCTGTGGACCATAGACATCTACA